GCTTGCAGAAGACGCCCTGTCCCTCAAACGGCCTTGCTGCCGAACATTCAAATTGTGAAAATATGAAAGCTCTCAACGTAGCCACTTCCTTTCTGCTTAAGTTAACTGCCAAACACCTCCATCTCAGCTACGCAGTATGGTCTCGCCATTGTGGCGAGATGTTAATTACCTTGCCTAGTATACAGGGGTCATGGGTTCGATCCCAACCCTGACGCCTGCTGTATATTTGGACTTTACATGTCTCTCTCCCAGTGGTCATGTGGATTTTTATCCGGGTCCTCCAGTTTTTTCTCTCCACATTTAGAAACATCCGTGAAGAGTATTTGGTCGCAATAAATTTCCACGTGATAAAACACTTATTTGAGCTTCTGAAAAAGAGCTATACAGCTCAGTGGGTCTTAACCTGGTAAAATATCATTAGTTAGTTTTAATGCAGACTTTACATTCCTGACTCCAATGAAAATTGGCACCACTTCACGCTCGTTTCAGCAAGAAGACATGCTTACAAGTTGGGAGTACATATCAATGTACATTTCTCATGTTGTGTGTTTAGACAGCGACAGCCTGATATAATTACCTTGTAATCCAGCACTGTGATAGCAAGGGTTGGTGGATCACACCTCCGATTAGCATGGTTGGCGCCGTACGGTGCGAAATAAGTTAAACATATAGTACATAAATCTTGACTTAAAGCTTTCGTGACTGCAGGAATTCATATTCCTTGGGTCTTTCGGTAAAGTCACGTAGATAGGTTGTTATTTTATTTAAACCTATCTGCGTAACTTTACCGGAAGACTCAAAGAATATATGGTACAAATGTAATGACAGGGTGACATCTGCTGGCCGGAAAGAGAATCACGGGTACAGGCATGGTTAAGTACCAACCAATCAGAGAAGGAGGTGTATCTGGGGCAAAGGTAACAGGTGGGGCTAGACGAGACACTCCGGGAATCTGCTGAAAGGTTCCATGAGAGGGTGTCGCCGGAGGCGGGGCCTAGCCATGCCTGGGGGGATATAAGGGGGAGTGGACCCGGGGCTCAGGGCTCGTGTGTGGGGTCTTGGGTCCAGGCTGCGTCGCTGCTCGCCGACATCTTTCTCCATCGTCCGGCCATGTGGAAGATCTCCTGTGTGGTTTCCATCGCCGTCATCGTCACGCCGCCAGCCAGCGGTGTAGCCGAGTGAGGACGATGGGACCACGCCAAGTCATCGGCTGTGTGTAGCCAGTAGAGACGTTAATATCGAGTGTTGTACTCAATGTGAGCTAGAATAAGTGTTGGCCTGTGTTTTGCCCAGTGTGAGTAATAAAAGAAGTACCCTCTACACGACATGTCGCAGAAGTTGCTCATTACACATACATCACACATTCGTGAAACTCCCAAGGGCGCCGCAGTGGCCATCTCCTGGCTTGCCAGGGTATCTCAGCAGAGCAAGCGGATGAATTTCGAATCAGGAATCCTGCACGGGGATTGAGTGTTAGCCCCTTCATATGTGTGGTTTTTCTTCAGTTGCTCCGGTCTCCTCACACACAGACCCTTACTCGGTCATAGAGTTGACCAGACATCCCCATATAGAACCACAGAGCTTGGGCAATTGTTGGTAGCGCCGGTCCTGGCTGCATTCCCTGCTGCCTGTGGTTCCCATACACAAACTGCGCATTTCCAATTATACAGAGTTTTGAAATATAACTTGCAGGAAGGAAGTGATATAAAATGAAACAGCATGTTATCATGCTTTGTCTACAATCATCAATTCCAATTGGATTTCTGCAATTAATGATTGCTAAAGTGCACTCAACCACTATAAAGTTACAAGTGAGTTCCCTGAAAAACCAGCCACATCCACCAGAATACTCTTCGGAAATATTGCAGATTATTATTATTAAGTCGATATTTTCACATCAAAACGTTACATTTTCAGGAGGAAGCCAATATGCAAAGCAGGATGAGAATAAAGTCAGATACAGATAATTGGAAACTGAGGGCCACGGATAATAGGAGCTCGTGTAGACCCTACAGTTTCCCCCAGATAACAGGAGTCATTAGTAATGGGAAATGCTGAGTGGTGGGTAATAGCTATGGTCCACAGATGTATGTATGTTGAACTTCTTTCAAACCTTATGTAGTAGTTGCGCATAGTAGGGTCCATGGATAATAGGAGTCGTGACTAATTTGCTCGATAGCAAATGTAATGCCTTGTCCTACGTATAATTGACCTGACAATGTTTAATGTTCCCCCCTATGGTGCACACATAATATGAGTCGTGGGTCACAGTGCCCATGGATAAACGGAGTCGCTATGGTTCACACATAATAGTAGTGTCATGTAATATGGCCCATGGTTTATAGGAGTCGCTGAGAATTTGTCCTAGAGCAAAGGTAAGATCCTCTGCTGGGTGTAATTGGCCTGAGACTGTAAAGCAAGGACAAAACCAGACATTTGGCACCACTAGTTTTAGAGCCCATAAATACGCAGTCTTGCCCAGGAAATGCATATTATGCAACTGCTCAATTAATCCGTTTTGGCTTTATTGGAAACTATCCAATGGGTAAATAATTAACTTAACTGTAACAGCAATAAAACCAAAAAGCTAAATGAGCAAAACAAGTAAATAACAGTACAAAAGTCCTCAATAAGTGAAATTGTATTGTTTGTGTAAATATGTGATTGAACAATAACAATAACACTGCTACATTTGCGATCGCGTTTAATTAAAACTGAAATGTCAGAAAACCCCACGTTCACGTTTTACCCTTCGTACTTGAATGCGTACAAATAAGAGGCCAAACCCGGTCATCAGCTTGAGCAAGTGCGTCACCATCCCTGCAAGCAAAGCAATGGCTGAGTGCAACGTGCTGCAGTCACAAGAAGCTGGCCACTGTTCCCACTGAGATTTCAGTTTCATTTCATTTATTAGGTACAACCCTGTGAGCCATGCGGTTCTTGACTCGGGTGCAACCGCAACAAACAAAAACATGAACAAGAAACATCTTAAAGTGACTGCACGCAACAGAAAAATTCAGGAAAAAACAGCAAAGTTTTCCAGAAAAACACCGTATATAAACGATGTGTGCAAAAATCCTAGTTGGATGCAAGTTAAACAATAACAACCATAAGACAATTTAGATTAAAGTTATCAGGCTAACTCTGTACAACAAACAAACATGGCTAACCCAAAACGTTTTCAAAATCACCAAAATGAAGCTATAAAAACAATGTAACAGCGATCATAGGAACTGTGGTTCAAATTGAACAATAAATGATATACATAACATGTACGACCAAACTGTGCAGCCATAGCTGGCTGCATGAGTTACTCCATAACAGCAGGAGTATCAGTAGCAGTATCCAAATTTTTCAATAGACCTTTAAAGATCAGCACACTATGTGTTTTGAACTCGCTCAATTAAAAAAGAGAGATGATATTGTCATCTTCTCAGCCGACAAGGGCAATGCCACTGTCATCATGGATAAAACCACATACAACAACAAAATTCAGGACCTTCTTATGGATGGTAGCTATACCAAAATCAATAGAGATCCTACCAACCGCTTGGTTACGAAAACCAACAATGTCATCACTAACTCGACTTCTCTAATCGAACCAACCAAGCTGCTTTCTCTAAAACCTTCTGCTGCTAGACCACCCATATTTTATGGCCTTCCAAAAATCCACAAAGAAGGTACACCGCTCCGTCCCATCGTCTCCACCATTAACTCACCCACCTACAAACTGGCACGATTTCCGTCTGAGTCCCTGCTTCCATTCACTGGCAAGACCACCTCAGCTGTACTTAACTCAGTTCACTTGGTTTCTCTAATCAAAGACATCTCACTGTCTCCAAATGATTTGCTTGTAAGTTTCGATGTAGTCTCTCTGTTCACCAAGATACCTGTGCCTGACACCATTGCAATCATCAAAGACTGGTCCAACAGGGACTGAATTCTGATGTGCCAACTTTGGTAAGGCACTGCCTTACCAATACTTACTTCGCCTGGAATGGTAAATTCTACAAACAAGAGGAGGGTACCCCAATGGGTGTTCCCTTATCGCCAGTGGTAGCGAATGTTTTCATGGAGAAATTTGAGACAGATGTCATCCAGACATCCACTCTACGTCCTTCCTTGTGGAAGAGATACGTAGATGACACGTTCGTCATCTTGCCACATGGCCAGCCAGCACTAAACCAATTCTTCAACCACATCAATTCCATACACCCAGCCATAAAATTCACCATGGAAGTGGAAAAGGATGGCAAGTTGCCATTCCTGGTTGTTTTGATCGAGAAGAGACCTGATGACTCGTTGGAACATTCTGTCAACAGGAAAGCCACCCACACGGATGCCTATCTAAAGCCTGACTCCCCACCATCCAGCCCAGAAGAATTCCCTCATCAAAACACTTGTGTGATCTATTAATTTTCTATCTAAGTGACTTCACCGAAAGAACCAAAAAGTATGGATTCCTGCAGTCACAAAAGCTTCAAATCATAATTGAATGCATATATTATCAGAGTATTTTTTTGGTTGCATTCTGACCACAAGCACTGTGGTTAATGCAGACATGATTCCTTGTAAAAGGTTTCAGTTTGGTGTTTTAACATCTTAACTCCTAAATTTTGATTTAAAGCTTTCGTGACTGCAGTAATTCATATTCTTAGTTTTTTCGGTAAAGTCACGTTGAAGAGAAACAACAAAATAACAAAATATATATAAAACAATAAAAAATTATCACGACGTTTCGACCATAACTCATAAATTTATGCAAACCGACACACCTGATGATGACCGTTTGAGTTATGGTCGAAACGTCGTGAGAATTTTTTATTGTTTTATATATATTTTGTTATTTTGTTGTTTCTCTTCAACGTGACTTTACCGAAAAAACTAAGAATATCTTAACTCCTGTTTTGTTGTCAGAAAAAAGGGAAAACCTATTCGCATGTTAATCATATACTTTATAATACCTACGTATAAAGATATTGAAAAAAAAGCAACGCAAATATTTACAATAACCAAAAATCGTAATTTACACAAAATAGCTTCACTATTAAACCAATGAATAACAACAATTTACAAATAATGTCTAGATTTTTCTAAATTTAACCAACAAGCGCTATTTCCATACAACCACTCCACACCAATAATGTCTCCTTCAACGTCAGATTGTTGTTGGCATTCAGTCGTGAGCATCTCTCTGAATGAGCTCTCCTCCAGATCCTTCTTTGGATCATGTTTTGCTACCCGTGCATAGTCTCCCTTTTGTCCATAAAATTTTTAACATTTATTTTTGCCGTTAAAAATGTACGATAACATTGGTAATGATCAAATATTTGGGGAATTACATATCTAACATTTTTTTTAAGACCACTCAGAAAGCGACATATACCTGCGGATTCGATGTTAAACATGCCGATTATTTTCCTGCCGGATTAAAAATTCCAAGGCGTCTCCACATCGGCAATGCTACTTTGTTTGTTGTATGCAAAGTCTTTTCTGCAAATTAATGCCGCACGTCGTCAACAAACGAAAAGGAACACCACACAGCTGATGCTGCACCGTTTCGCGAATCCCACGATCGACACGACAGAGCCGACAGAGCCTCTGATCGAGTAAAGTCGATTCTTAACATTCCGTAACAACTAAGATTTAATACCTCAGATGAAAACAATGGAAATTGTGACTTTTAATTAAATACATGAGTATTGTTTTAATTAATACTACAAACTATTGTATACTGTCAAGTTTCAAGAGTCGACATTTTTCAGTTTTTGGTCAATTGTTTTTGTGAACGGTTGGTTCTGATCGATTTGTTTTATGCTTGCATTGAAAAACTCGTTTACCAAATCCCATCTTTTTTTTTTACAGAAAATGGATTGGATCCGATGCACCATTAGAAAAACTACGTTGCCAATATAAAAATCCCTCGGTGCAATACCTTCTGTCTGGTAAGATTAGATTCATGATTGAATTTTCCACAATTTTTGTTTATTGCTGTTGATGTCAACATAGATGTGTTTAACACGTAGGCTTTCGCGACCAATATTATTCATAATAAAGGTTTTTGGGTTAGATCGCGTTATTTATAAATGTGTCGTAACCCTCCACCACCCGACATGGCCAATCAGCAAAAAAAAAGTGTCACGTTGACAAAAGACAAGTAGTTCACTACTTTAGCCCACCGGTGTGTTGAAGAGTGAATCCACAATATTTACAGTTTGAGTACGACGTTTTGCTGGTAATTACTCCAGCTTCATCGGGCAATTCGCCAGAATGGTAAAGCCCTCGCTTGCTCCCGGTCTTAAATAGAGCAGCAGGGTGACGTCATCATTTAACTCATTTCAGGTGCAGTGATTTGAGGCGGAGGGGGGTATTGTAATTATATAATCGATTGGTAATCAGTCAATGGTTATGATTAGTAATGAGTTGTAGATTAGTAATTAGTTGTAATGTGTGTTATTGTGATTATAGGCTACGTTAGTAATCCGTTAATTAGTATGTGTTTCCTCTATAAGGAATTGTAATATGTATCATTTAATAATACGCTTCCAAGCCGCACTAAGCCTGACGCTGTCAGAGCGATTAAAGTTATTTCTATTCCTCTCAATTTCAATGGATTCTCTAATTAGTCTTTGCCAGAAATAATTAGTTTTACACAACACTTCAACGTTATCAAAATCAATTGAGTGTCCTTGTTGACAAGCATGTTCTGCCACTGCCAACAGTTGTGTTTGAGATAATTTAATATTTTTTTATGTTCTTTTAGTCTTATGCTGATGTTACGTCCCGTCTGTCCAATATAGCATCTGGCACATAAACAATTCATCCGATATACACATTCTGTTGATAATTTAGGTAATGCGTCTTTAGTGCTAGATACTAGTTTTTGAATTTTGTGTACTGTACCAAATCTTACTGTAATGTTTTGCTTTTGCAAAACACGGGCTAATTTGTCAGTTACTCCTGAGATATATGGAATTTTTATTGTTTTAACAATCTGATCGCTTTCAGCCGTGTTGCTTTGCGATCGTGATTTGGCATTCAGTGCTCTGTTAATTTGAGCATTATTGTAGCCATTCTGTCGTAGTGCTTCTTTAACGTGTTTTATCTCTCTCGCTAGACTTTCACCATCTGACACTGTTTTAGCCCGATGTATGAGCGTCTTGATAAGAGAGGATTTCTGAGCTGGATGATGATGCGAATCTGCATACAGATAGGCATCAGTATGCGTTTGCTTTCTGTAAACGCTGTGTGTTATTTTACTGTTTAGGCCATGTCCAAGCAAAATATCTAGGAACGGGGGTGAAGGTGTGCGTGGCTGGAAGGGGAGGCTGCCCCTCCAGTGCTGTGGCAGTGACTCCGGACCAGAGGATGGGTCGGTGGCTGAGTGGGGCCTTTACGGTGCGAGCAAGGGGGCGGCCCCTCGGTTTTTGCTTTTTTTGTTTTGTTGTCTCCGCTGAGATACTGAATAAAACTTTAAAAACCGTAATTACCAGCGAAACGTCGTACTCAAACTGTAAATGTTGTGGATTCACTCTTCAACACACCGGTGGGCTAAAGTAGTGAACTATTTGTCTTTTGTCAACGTAACACTTTTTTTTGCTGATTGGCCGTGTCGGGTGGTGGAGGGTTACGACACATTTATAAATAATGCGATTTAACCCAAAAACCTTTATTATGAATAGATGTGTTTTTTGCACTTGTTTGTAATTATTTTGAATGCAATATTAGATTATAATTTTTGAAATGTTGAGACCCTTTGTAATGATATTCTTGTGGAATTTAACTGATTTTTGGGGTGTGTGTGTATGTGTGAACAGCTATGGCACCACGTGGGCTTCTTGCGCTTGCATTTACGGTGCACGTAACGCTACACTTTACGACGGCAAAGCACATCTTGTTTGTGGAACAGTGGTCACCCCCACACCCACTGCCAATGTCAACTACATCATCCTCGGCATCGTCAACACCAAACACTTCCTCTTCGTCCTTTCATTGCATCTGTGCGTCACTGCCACCCGCACACTGCGATATCCACTTCGCTCTGACAAACTGCGTCTGCAAATCTCACGCAGCCTCTGCTAATAATGAGACATCCATCCAAGAGACACACGTGGAAATAAGCAAACTCGTTACAGATGCTGCTGAAGCCATGGAAAGTCTGTCACTGTGGCTTTGGCAAGATTCACCTGACCTGGTTGTGCGTATGTCCCATGCCCTAGCCAGCGAGTGCCCCCTGCATGTGAATTCACTTCACATATCGCGCTGCATGTTCAGTGACAAACCCACCAATGAAGAGGACGGTGCCTACAACACGAAGGGAGCCGTTGGCGCTGATTGCACCAAATCGGAAGAAAATGGTGGTGGTGGTTACGTGCTTATGCTTCAAGGGTTGCGGGAGGTGTGTGCGGATTTCCACACACATGACGACGGCGCTGTCCGTTCGTGCTTGCTTCTTCGCGGCAATATTTATGAAGACCTAAACGAATATGCTAATGTTAATGTCGGGCATAATGATAACTTTGCAGATAAGAGGGGTATATTTGGTATACATGCTAACAATGATGTAAACCATGAAGCTCGTGAAAACACCGTTAATAGCGGTGAAGTAGAGATAGCATTGGTGCTTCTTTCCCTTCCTGCCATACCCCCTGGACTACGTGCAGTGACACTCCTCGTGAATGGTGACACATACACCCAGGTAATGGCCTGCTTGGATCATGCAAAGAATTGTGTCTCTTCTGAAAAAATACTACTTACACTAATTTACTGACCGAGTAAATTTGTGCACAGAACCTATAATTGCATGTTAAGTATTTCGCTAATCATGTGTAGAATGAAGGTAAACACTTCACTTCAGGACTGCTTAAAATTTGATTGGATGTTACTATGGTACATAGTAAGACCGATAGTCTCATTCAAATTCTGTTTGGATATTGACTCGGCCCATCATACCTTGACAGGCAACAAAATAAGAACCACTTTGAAGTTAAAAGTGGTTGTCCTATGGATCCAACATTTGTCCCTGCCATGTGAATTTGGAATTTCCACCACTTATCTCGGTACCACCAACAGAGCCACCATCCTGTCCTGATCTAAGCTTATAGTTAGACTTATAAACATGAAAACACATATCAAGAAACAGCGCAAGTAGGAGAAAGAGAACTGTTTTAAGGGTGTCCAATCAATGGATTTGCTGCTCAAATGGGCATTCAGGTGGTGCTCAGCCCCTGCGATCGTGGGGAAAATCTAAATGCCTAAAGTGGGGGCAAGTCTATGAGTAAGACAATCACTGTCGATTTCCCAACAAAGTGGTACTCTTGTTTAATTGACCCTAGTGGAGGGCTCATGGGCACTGTCAATTTCCCAACTCGGATTAGAACTCGCAACCCTTCGGATTACCAGGTACTCACTCGACCGTTGTGCGGGGAGGATAAGCGGTGTGACGTGATGGGCAGGTAACACGACTTATGCAGCAAAGCTTGTCATGAAGTTAAAGATGAAGAGGAATTCGTTTTGTGTGTGGATATCCACACACACGCTAGAGGTTGTTGAACATGAATGTATACCTTCACAGTACATTAATTATGAAGATGTGGAGAACATCATGAGTTCCACACATGTGCAGCATGTCTATCACAGCCTTGTTGAATTTTAAGTGTTTCGCTTTGACCAATGCCATCAGTGTGGCGAGCAAACAACAATGGATGACCTCCCAATGGTTCAAAAAGCAGCACAATCTGAGATGGTTAACTCTGTCTCCATGTATGCCAATAACATCTCTATACCCTATCTGTGTCATTTTACAGTACCGCATGTTTATTTGTACAATATAGTATATAGGTAACGTGCCATCCACTTGCTTTTACTTATACTTCAAATTCGTTTATGCATCATACATTTTGATGTTTTGAAGGGTTCCACTGTTTCTAAATATATTCTAAATGATAACAGCTCATATGCAAATGAAATACGATACTATAAATTATGGAAACAGTCTTAATTTAAATTTGCATCAGTACCCCATCGTGTACAGTGTGATGAAATGTGTAAAATGTTGAGGTAAAATTATAAAATATGTGTAAGATCTTATTTTAGACGAGTAAAGGCTTGTTTCTGGGCAGAAAATGTCATCGGATTTTACGACTTGTTGTTGGCAAGTGGTCTGAGGACATTGCAAGTTCTTAAAATGGACTAATCCACAGAAACTTAGTGCCTCCTACTATGCCTGGGTGACGGAAGCTGAAGACATGTTGCAGAGGAGGAATATCCCGAGACAGCCTCACAGCATTCCACGGGCATCCTGTCAAGAAGGGGATGTTTAAGCAAAAGTTAAGACGGAACGTCACCTTGCCACATTGAACTCACATATAAGTGTGGCACATGAGGAATGGACCACTCTTTTAATTATTTAATCGTGCAGCAAGGGAGTAAAGTGTGGTTTTGTGAAAGTCCTTATGTGCTGTGCAGTACATGAATGCACGTGTGGACACCAGCATGCGATAACTGACTTGGGCCTGTGGATGTCTGGCAGGGTTATTGATTAACCGGACTTGTACACCAGTCACGTGGTTAATGGCTACTCGGTTGAGAATTGCTGTGTGTGACACACGTGCTGTTGCATTCTACAGGCAAAGGACCTAAAGGTTGCTTTTGATCAAAATAGAAATGTTCGAGACTTGTTCTCGACTTCAAGCTTGGCTTTGAAATGTTAGTTTGTAATATATTCAATAGGAGGGGTTTTAGCACTGTGCACTGTAAAGGATGATGTACTGCAGTTAATACTTGTAATTCACTAAACCCTAATACTGTTTATTCTATAACCATGCCCATGCACCCAGAGTAAGACTACTTGCAATGCTATTGAGAATAGAACACATAGTAGTAAGTTGTACAATGGTGACAAGTACAGTATGTATACTGTACACATACAAAACAGATAATGGGTGTAAGATACCGATATAAGTGGATGGTATAGATAGACATACAGCTTAGGATTAAAGTGATATTTGAATAGTGAAGTGCAAGGGTCATTGTCAAAGACAAAGATGGTTTATCAGCAGTAGAATTTGGTTTAAGAGAAACTGTTATTGATTAACGAGACTTGTACACCAGTCACGTGGTTAATGGCGACTCGGTTGCGGATTGCTGTGTGACACAAGTGCTGTTGCATTTTACAGATTGACCACAATAAATGTGTTTGCTCTCGATTTGGAGCACCTGCCCACGTCCTTCATTTCGAGTGTGCAACATATTTTGTTGAGCCAGACAGGAAAGTTTCCCAGAGTTCACAGACGGGGATCAACTCTTCCAACGAGACGGACCAAACAATTGTACAGGCAGCATATGTAAAGACAGTCTTGCAAGGATCGGAACGGTCTTCACATCATGGCACTGGAACAGCTGCAGGACAAGGCCAGTACTGCTTTGAATCAGCTGCAAAGAGCCCAGTTCATGAAAACATGCAGATATTTGAAGTGTTTCCATGATGATGAGACTGGTAAAGCTAAAAAGCAGACGAGCTTTGATTCGTATGGCAGAAAGGGTACTCGATGAAGTTGAATACCAAGAAGAAGATGATGAGGCCTTTGCATATATTCGAAACCTGCTGTCTTTCATTGAAACAATACAGCAGAAAGACAAAGACAGCAAGGGAACAGGTCAAACACTGCCACCATCAAAACTATCTAAAGATATGGATGGTTAAGTACAAGAGTCACAAGAAGAATCCAAAAAAACCCTTGAGGAAAAGAAAACCTCAAGTGAAGGTGGAACAAAAACCACAGCAGCATTCGATCCCGTACGAATGGCCAGACTAGGAAATGCGCCTAAAGTCACAATACGGAGATAATTGAGGATATGTGGGCAGATTGGTGAAAGAGGGCAGAAAGATAAGTTATTTTACACCAATCTGATGCACCAGATCGACACAGGAACCCATAAGGGCCATGCTCAGTCTGACATCATTGAGGCAGTAGTCAGAGCAATCAGTCCTGGTCTAAATTTGAGGGACATGCTAAAAATAAAAATTGATTTGACTATTTTCAAGTAAAAAAAACATTTTGAAGGGACACTATAGAGAAGAAAGCACATCTGATCTCTATCACAAGTTGATGAACATCTCTCAGGAGCCAAGAGGAACTGCACTAAACTTTTTGTTCTGAGCTATCGAATTAATGGACAGACTATTATTTGCATCTAAAGAACAAGGAGCTGATGACCAGTACAGTCCAGATTTGGTACGCAGGAAGTTCCTGAGATCGATTGGCACAGGATTGCTCAGTGGCCCTATACAATTCCAAATAAAGCCCCATCTAGATGACATCACTGTCACTGATGAGATGCTGATTGGAAAAGTCAATGAAGCAGCCAGCTTGGAAATTGATAGACAAAACAAGCTCAAACAGAATTTGGCTCCCAAAATGACTTGGATGAACGAACTGCAAGCTGATTTGAAGGGTAATAGGGAAGGCTGTCAGCAGGACTCACAGGGACAATTTAAGGTGGTTACATCACCAATACAACCATCCAACAACGGAAATACCAGGACCAAAACAGAGAAGGGCAACAAGACATCAGCAACTGAAAGGCCATCTCGAGATGGGATTGAAAAGATGGTAAGCGAGTTAAGGGCAGAAGTTGCAGAGTTCAGGAGGAGGTGGCATGATGATGTCACCCCAGACACAAAGCGAGGACACTGGAAACAACCAGCCCAAGACAGAGCAATGCGACCAAGAGGCTGTAGGATGTGCCAAGAGGCTGGAGCAGGTGGTACATGTAACCATTGTTTCAAATGTGGCTAGCTGGGACACCTAGCCCGTTGATGTCGAGCCTCTTTACAGCAGCAGGGAAACTGGCGAGGGTTGCTGCAGGGGGACCAGCAGTAACCTACAAGCCAGAGTCCCAAGGGTGTCAGTACTGTTTATGTGAAGAGAATGATGTTGTAAGACTGCAGATGTGCCAGCGTTGTCACGCAGTACAGTACTGTTTGAATACCTGCCAAAAACAACACTGGCAAGAGCACAAGGTACTCTGCAGAGCAATCAACACATTACAGAAGGAAACATAATGTGAAAAGACACCAGAGTGGAGGAGCCCAAATATTGGCAAGGTTAGCTTTCTCGGGCCTAAATGCAACAACAGACTGTTTAAGTTAATTGGAAAAGATGCATGGTGAAGTGTTTACCGGACCACGTATCTACCTCTGCCCTTTGGGATACAGGAGCTCAAGCCAGTGTTATAAATAAAGCATGGCGAAATGAGTATCTACCTAAGTCAATAGTGAGACCAGTTGAAGAGCTCTTGGGGACTGGTACAATTACTGGAATGGTAGTTAACCAAACATAAATACCATTCACAGGCTGGATAGAGGTGGCATTCAGATTGAACCGTAATATAGGGACCAGTCAGTGCTTTCTCATTCCAATCCTGGTATTCAGTGACCCCAGGGTTGTAGAAAATCCCATTATTTGTTTTAATGTCATCGAGGAGGTCATCAATATGGTGGTGGAAGGAGGAGAGCCAATTGCGGACCCCGTGGGGGTTGTGGGTGAGGCTTTCTCCATCACTCCGGGAGACACAAACGTCCTCATCCTTCTGGCAACCGGGACAGTGATGGTGGGGCAGTCAAGACAGGCAAACAGAGAGTGGTGCTACCACCAGCTCAAACCACAATGGTTCGAAGTCGTGCTCATTTGGGACAGCTGGAGGAAGATGAAGTGATGCTGTTTGTCCCTGAAGAGAAGCCCCAATGGCCAGAGGGTTTACACATCAATGAGGTCCTGGTGACGCTGAGTAGAGGCAACTCATCCTGCATACCAATCTCAGTGATCAACACAACCAAACACAGCATCATACTTGATCAGCGAGTCACCTTAGGACACTTACAGCCGGTGAAATGTGTATCCAGCAGCAGTAAGACCTGTGGCATATCACCAAGGCACCCCTATTCAGGATCAGACATGCCAACAAACACAGGGTGACCACATAACTGGTGGAGCAAAAGCTAAGGGGCTGCAGCTGAGGCCAAAAGTTCAAGAGCAAAGTGAAAACTGTGACCCACTGGTAAAACTGGACCACCTAACAAAGGAGCAGCAAATTGCCGCCAAGATGATGCTCAGAGAGGAATGTCATTCTTTTTCTAGGCATGACAATACCTTCATTGCACTCCAGTGCAAAAGACGCACATTGCAGTCCCAAAACCATTGCGTAATGAAGTTAAGCAGTATCTGCAAGACTTGATCAATCCGAGGCTGGGTGATAAAATCAGGATCATCATATTTTTCACCCATTGTCTATGTAAGGAAGAAAGACAGAAACCTGAGACTATGTTGTGATTACCGAGAGCTGAACCTGAAGTCTGTTCCTGACAGGCATCCCATTCCAAGTATCCAAGACATGCTTGACAGTTTGAGTGTGAGTTCTTGGTTTTCTGTTTGAGATCAAGGGAAAGCCTGCCATCAAGGCTTCCTCGATGAAGAAAGTCTCCCCCTCACAGCTTTTATCTCACCATGAGTGGGTACGTATCCCCTTTGGTTTCAGTTCAGCACCAGCAGAATTCCAGAGGAGGACTGCCTGTCTGGTCTGCGGGATGACATCTGTCAGCCTTACCTGGATGACAACCTTGTTCACAGCAAGATCATGTGCGGCATGTACAAATGGTCTTGCGTCAGTATCAACAGCATGGTGTCAAACTGACAGCCAGGAAATGTGAGTTGTTCCAGAGCAAGGTGCGATACTTAGGCAAAATTGTTTTGAAAGATGGCTATAGTATGGACCCAGCAGATATTGCCCCAGTTCAAGCACTTAAAGCAAGGAAGCCTGCAACAGTGGGAGAGCTCAGAAAGATGCTGGGATTAATCTCTTACTACAGGTCGTATATACAAAACGTTTAAAGTTTTGCCAGTCCACTGTATGACTTGCTTTTAACAACACCTAGGCAATTTCAAAACAACAGAACAGTACAGGTGTAGTGAGTTCAACCGAGTCACAGACGTGGTCTTGGAGGCAACACATTTATTTAACACCAACACACGGGGTAACTGCCCCTTAACAGAATAACAACCTATGGTGGTGACCACCAGGCTCAGCGGAATATGCCGTGGGTGATGCACACAAGGACACACACTGACACACGTACGGAAACACACATACGGACAGATCATGACACAGCAAAATCAAAAGAAGCCCCACCTTGTGGGGGAGCCAAGGGGAGTGATTTTGACATGAAGTGAGACGCTCCAACAAGCGAATTCAGTTCGACCGGTGGGTCGGCTCATCAGAGAGTTCGACCTGCGGGTCAGCTCAGGAGCGAGCTGCGACCGGTGGGTCAGCTCGGCTCTGCTACGACCTCATCATCAGCAAGGGCTAAGAGCAGCTCGGCTCATCAGCCCAGAGGGGCTTCTACCAGCTCGGCATCTGCCAGTAGGGCAGAGCGCGCCGTCAGCCACAGAGCGCCGTCAGCCACAGAGCGCCGTCAACCACAGAGCACCGTCAGCAGCGCCCGCTATGAGCGTGCTGTGAGCGCCATCTACCGACATAAACTCGCAACTACAACAACGTGTCAACTTTTCAACCTGTCAACTTGTCAACTCATCAACCACTGTCAACTCGTCAACCTGTCAACCTGTGTGTGGGCCAAACCGAACCGACTACCTTGAAAGAATCAACATATACATATTACGCACATTGCCCCCCACTACACGACAAGTCAGGTGTCTGCATTGACATAGGAACTAATTCCAAACACTGACGACCCCAAGACAATTCATATCACTTACGCATACACGGGTCCTCGACCAAAAAGACAATATTCAAGTACATAGATCATCAGTTGCCGTGAGGGCACCACAGCGTTGCAGGGGTGAACACTCCATCGTTTATAAGTATATTCATAATTTTCCTCTTTAATATTTTGTTTTGGGCTGTACTTCTAATCGCATAAGTTACCAACCGATCCATCAATACGAATTTATCCTTGGCACCTTCGCCACGGAGCTACGCTCCCGGGGAGGAATCGTGCTAAACCGATTTTCTGATCATACAATCTTGTTCACGAATTAATTAATCTCCCGTGAGATAGCACGTCCCGCCGCACACCCTCACACTAAGCCATTTCGGTAATCCTATAATCTGTCCGGTGGATCTGTTGTTACATTTATGCCTTTGGAAATAATAACTGTTTGATCGTGTTTTATATGAATACCGTTGCATATTA